TAGCCGCTACGTAGCTGCTACGATATTGAACTCAACCCAGTTGACCCCTGATACCAACTAAGGTTACTAAAGACTTTCCCCTGGCCGTTCATTTAATTTTTGTTTCAATAAACGGTTCTAGAAGCAATTAAATGATCTGCGGCCTCTGACATATAATTAAAAAAAGTAACCATCTAATCCCCAGATATATATAATCTGTTTCTCTCTAAATTTACAGAAACATTATATGATATATTTTTGAAAATTCCTTATATCTCAAATGATTATAGTTACTTTGTTTTTAATTCTGTAAACATCTATATATCATAATTTGTACCACACTACAAGGATCTATTAATAACCGTCGCTCACGCATAACGGATTATACAACGACCTATTAATAACCGTCGCTCACGCATCAGTGATTCTATCAATGACTCAATACACACCAGTTTTATCGGACAAACGGCTAATTCCCGCCGACACGGAAAATCTCCGGATAACATGCAAAATATCCTGTAATACAGCAAATTTACGATGAACCTCTAATTTTTATCCGTTTCGCGGAGATTAGCCAAAAAACACCGGAGTTTTTACAAAAATCGCGGTGATTTTCCAAATAGGTCTGCCAGTGTATGGTCCTTGGTAAATTAGAAAATGGCACTCTATATTGTTTCCTGAATAACTTGTGAACCATTCAGCCAATGCTGTCCATATTTTAATGTTATTGATGACATAATCATGATAATGACGGTCAAGTACAATATTGATTATTTTCACTTTTACCGTTCAGGAGTTATGGTCCTTGATAGATTGGAAAATGGCACTTTATGTGGTTTTGGTGATGGTCCTTGTTAGATTGGATAATTGGCACAGAACATAGTCGGTCAAACAAGCCTGAAAGTGGAATACATTGGAATACATCACTTTCCTTTGTACTAACTGTTCTGTAAAGTTCAATAATGGTTACCTTCAAAATACAGAAAACCTGGTTTGCTGTCAGTTTGACTCCTCATGTCTTGAATGATTTTTTTCAACCCCTGACATAACTCTTAATAGTTCTAAAATTATCTTTCAATCTCTTTTTGGGATAAAGATATCATTGGTGCAATCAAAACCCTTATGTGGTCGTCTTGATAGCTATCAATTTCCCAGACTAAACACTTCTTTACAGTACAGTAATTAAAAAAATGTAGTTTAACCCCGCCACATTCTTTATGTGTCTGTCCCATGTCAGGAGCCTGTATTTCAGTGGTTGTCGTTGGTTCATGTCTGTCATATTTGTTTTTCATAAATTGTTCTGTTATAAATTAGGCCATTAGTTTTTATACGACCGCAAAAAAATTTTTGTGGTCGTATATTGGTATGACGTTGGCGTCGTCGTCGTCGTCGTCGTCGTCGTCTGGCGTCGTCGTCCGAATACACATTAGTTTTCGCACTCTAACTTTAGTTTAAGTGAATGGATCTCATTGAAATTTTACCATAAGGTTCAATACACCAAAAGGAAGGTGGGGATTGATTTTGGGGGTTATGGTACTAACAGTTAAGGAATTAGGGGCCAAAAGGGGCCAAAAATAAGCATTTTTGTAACTTCCAGACATAACTTGTGTGTAAGTGTATGGATCTCTCTGACATTGTACCACAAGGTTCCATATCACAAAGGGAATGGTGGGATTGATTTTGGGGGTAATTGTCTCCAAATTTTAGGAATTAGGGGCCAAAAAGGGGCAAAAAACAAGCATTTTTCTAGTTTCATGACAATAACTTGTTTGTAAGTGTATGGATCTTTATGAAATTGTACTACAAGGTTCCATATCACAAAGGGAATACTGGGATTGATTTTTGGGGTAATTTCCTCCAAATATTAGGAATTAGGGGCCAAAAAGGGGCAAAAAACAAGCATTTTTCTAGTTTCATGACAATAACTTGTTTGTAAGTGTATGGATCTTTATGAAATTGTACTACAAGGTTCCATATCACAAAGGAAAGGCTGGGATTGATTTTGGGGGTTTTCCCTCAAAATTTTAGTAATAAGGGGCCATTAAAGGGCAAAAAAAACATGCATTTTTCTAGTTTCAGGACAATAACTTGTGTGTAAGTGTATGGATCGTTATGAAATTGTACTGCAAGGTTCCATATCACAAAGGGAAAGCTGGAATTGAGTTTGGGGGTAATTGCCCTAAACGTTTAGGAATTTGGGGCCAAGAAGGGGCAAAGAAACAAGCATTTTTCTAGTTTCCAGACAATAACTTGTGTTCAAGTGTATGAATCTCTCTGAAATTGTACTGCAAGGTACCATACCACAAAGGGAAAGCTGGGATTGAGTTTGGGGGCGATGAATCTTAAGGGGTTCAAAAAATTGGGGGGGGGGGATTTTTTTTTTCCTTTTTTTTTCTTTAACATTTTCCATTTTAAATTGGTTATTTCTGATTTATATATAAAAGCAAATAATAATGATATGGTTTGAATAGGCATACATGTGAACCTCCCGACGGGAGTACAATAATCCCGTTTTCAGGGGTCTCCTCCCCCCCTCCCGTTGAAAAAATCCCGTGTATGAAGTTTTTCATGAATGAAAAATTTCTGCCCAACATAACATCTCAGGCATCTGGTGTAACTGACATTACCTGAAGTTATATTTTACCTGTAAATCAATTAACATGCATAATTATATGGCTTCACTTGTCAGCTTGGGTGTCAAACATACTGGTAAGCAACGATTTTTACCTCAGGCTAACTGCCGTTGTGTAACAAAAACTGTGTATTTATTGGGTTACTTCCCTTGATTTATCCTGTTTTAAGTTACTTTCCTTTTAATAATGAAAATTTTTAAAAGAATATAAATAAAATATAAATTGAACAAATAATCATAAAAGGATGGTTATTAAATGATTTTAAATGTCTTAGGACAAATAAAAAAATAATAATTTGAAAATTATTTGAGGATTCTATACTTCCTTTTAAGGCTTAAATTGAAATTTATATAATAACTATGACCCTAACTTTACAAATAGAATGAATTTCTGTGTTTGCAAATAAAAACTATTTGCAAGAGAAAAAAAAAAAAAATAAAAACTATTTGCAGACAGCTAAACAAATGTTCTGGTTGCTATGATTGTTTTATAGAATATGAAGTAAAAAATTTAAAGAACATACTGGAAAAAAACAATGTTAGATTGAACATGTAGAATATAAAGATGGAGAAACTTTATAAGTACAAGAGTACTATAAACATAATAAATTGGTTGGAAAGTTGAAGAAAACACACTTTAAAAGACCATTTTTACAGCACACGGTTACATTTACAACAAAATTAATGTCGATTAAAAACCTCCTGATCTGAGTCCTAATCTCCTGACCAAAATTTCCCAATCTCCTGATCTGAGTTTCACAGTCCATCACATGTATGAATAGGTAAATTGAAAATTTTTAAGTTCTTAGACCACTTTCATTCTGTGTCAGAAACCTATGCTGTGTCAAATATTTAATTACAATCCAAATTCAGTGCTGTATCAAGCTTGAATGTTGTGTCCATACTTGCCCCAACTGTTCAGGGTTTGACCTCTGCGGTCGTATCAAGCTGCGCCCCAGCGGAGCATTTTATTACTGTTGAATTGTTTCATATCGGGGACTTTTATAGCGGAATATACGGTATGGGTTTTTCTCATTTTTGAAGGCTGTATGGTTGTCTATAATAGCTTACATCCACTTCATTATAACTTTGGCAGATAGTTTACTCATTTGCAATCATACCACATCTCCTTATTTTTATATAGTCAAAAAGTGCATTGAGCACAATATTCTATACATCATATCCATAACCATTATAGAAATTTATCAATGAAACATAAGCTCAGATATTCAAATTATAAGATGGTGTGTATGTCAGGGATTGAAGTTAAAATTTTGGCATGGTGGCCCACAGCTTAAATTTTGGTAGCCAATATAATTATATAGTTCTATACAAGAAAAACAGAAATTTAGTAGCCCACACCCAATTTTAGGAGCCATTGGTGAGTGGGCCCCAAGTAATATTTGAAATTTGAGTTATCTCCCTTTGTCCATAATTGTAGTTGACTGTTAAACCCACAGTATTTCCTTTCAATGCACTGTTTAGTATTTAGTTCCCACTGCAAAATGAATGAAATCTTTACCATGTTTACCCTTCAGTACTCACAAGCTTTTGATTGTTTAGATCATATTGGAAATACACAACTGGCCATGTCGATTTATTTTCATTTCAACCTGCCAACCATAGCAGCTTTCTTCTGGCAACAAAAATATAGCCTTATACTTTTAGTAAAAGTATGAATTTCAAATGGTGAACTCATTTTCCAAGGAATAAAATGTTCAACTCTCATGATTAAGGAAAAGAAACAGCATGTTCAATGAATAGACAGGCATGGCTGGGAACCATTGAAGAGTTTTGACCATTCTGTGCAAACTCTCACTAGATGGTTGGAAATGACCAAATATACCTGAACCGTAGAGTACTGTCATGACTGTGGATTGGTTTATTTTTGTAGATACCAATTTTATTTTGGATTGAGGAAATCTTATATTTTCAGGGATATTTTGATATAGAGGATTTGTCAAAGTCTGTTTTCAATCCTTAAGGTGGTACCAAACACCTTGACTAAAATTAATTTGGCTCGTTTAATTTTCATAAAATTTTGACAAAATATTTACTTTAACCCTTTGACAAAAATATAAAAATTTCAAAAAACTTGAACCACACACTTTATCAGAAAAATTTCATTGGATATATAGCAGTTTGACAAACACTAATTTTGATCATTGAGAAGCCTAATATTTCCTTAACAATAGAACATGATTAAAACGTTCAGCTGATTTTCACAGAGTTATCTCCCTGTAGTGTTATGTACCACCCTAAGAATATTTGTGCTTTGTTGACCATTAAATTTGTGGTTTACCAAACCGATAAAATCAACAAAAATTAGTATCCCACGAATTATAATACATGTATGTGGTAATTATTTCTATCTTTATATTTATGACAGCTACATTGTTGTGGAGGTGTCAGTTACACAGACTACAGTGAATCTAACTGGATAACTACAGTCTGCCCTAATGAGAAAAATCCTGAAGTTTGTGAAAAACATGGTACTGGAAAAGTGCCACTGTCCTGCTGCAAGAATTCTTATTATTATGAAAACCAGGAGGAACATTATCAATATTGTTTAATGTATATTGAAGACACGTCAGGTGCTGTGCTGCCAAAACCCAATGCTAACATGTATCAGAAAGTAAGTGTATGACTTTTCAGCATTTTCAACATCTGAATTGAGCATTGTTGAGGGAAAAGTTGGATATAGATGTCTATGTATAGCAGGCTGACATCACCAATAAGTAAATAAGTCTCCTAGAGGTCCATATATGTAGATGGTCTTCAACAATAGACCAAGTGTCTATACCATATACTTATCTATTAATCACCCTGAATCTAGACCATGTTTTTCGCAAATTAGCTGTTGTATTCATTCAATATATTCATAACATAGAAAATGATAGTGGGAGTGGGGCATCTGGGTACTTTGGACACATTCTTGTTGGTTGATGTTCTCAAGAACTGTAATAATTGCAATTTGTCATTATAGTAAAAAAAAAATTATCTTTTAAGCTATTTTACATGAATTGAAGATCTATAGTAAATGGTGGCAGCATACTAAAAAAAACTGTGGCATGAAGTGGTAAGAGCAAAGACTGGTCGGCTCAGAGTCAGAATAATGTGTCCGGGTAAGGTGACATGTCTTCCAGCAGACTGTTACCTTGTGAACTAGTAAATTAAACATTCTGCTCAGCGTGTCTGTCTAGTACAATGCAGGGTTAATATTCATATTACATTAACATTTTCTCGTCTGAATATGCGTATTAATTTGCCGCTGGATGTTAAGCAGCTATCCATCATCATCATCTATAAAATCTGTAAACTATAAAAATTATTTTTTGATTTTTTTTTTGTTAATTAATCATGTTAATAGTAACATTTATGAATTACTGCTCTTATCAAAATCCTTTAGCATGTTTACATTTGCCAATTTTTTTTTCAGTTTGACATGTTTGAGGTTTCTTTAATTTCAGGGCTGTAGAGAGTCCATAGTACAATTTTTAGAGGACACAGTGCTCTCAGTACTTGGAGTGGCATTGTCAATAACAGTACTTGTGGTAAGAATTGAGTAAATTCCAATAAATTTATTTGTGCTAACCTTTTCTCTACAATTTATGGGGTTGGGGGGATGGGGAGGATGAATCATACCCTTTCATGTATTAATTTATGCCCCTGCTGTAGCAGAGGAGGCATTAAGTTTTACCCTTGTCTGTCCCAAAATTGGTTTCTGTTATCTAACTAAAGTTTGCCTGAACCAAATGATATAAAACTTATACACAATGTTTATTACCACAAAACACAGATCAAGTTCATAATTGGGTGGCGTAACTTTTACCGTTCATGAGTTATGCCCCTTTATAAACATAAAAATTGCTGAATTTTTGGTTTCCTTTTTCTAACTTTAGTTTGCCTCAACCAAATGTTATGAAACTGAGACACAATGCTTATTACCACAAAACACAGATCAAGGTTGAAATTGGGTGGCATCACCTTTACCGTTCTTGAGTTATGCCCCTTTATAAATGGAAAAATTGCTAAATCTGTTGTTTCCGTTGTCTAACTTTAGTTTGCCTAAACCAAATGTTATTGAACAATGATAGCACTCAAACCTGCAAAAAAACAATTTTAATGACAACAATGTAGAAATATATATGTCATTAACTTTAAAAGAAAAGAAAATGTCAATAATTAGTACATTGACTCATGCATATTTACAACAGGGGCATCTGTGGCCCATAGACACATTCTCAATTTATGTTTTTAAAAAATACCTATTACTATATTAAACTATTTTATGGAGAGCAAATATAGATTTGTCAATTATCTGATGCATTTTTGACTTGTTTAAATTGCATCTTTAAAAAGTACTGAACATTTCAAATTCTTATTTTTGTCGAGCCTGCGACTTTTGTCGCAGAAAGCTCAACATAGGGATAGTGATCTGGCAGCGGCGTTAGCTAACTTCTTAAAAGCTTTATATTTTAGAAGCTAGAAGACCTGGATGCTTCATACTTTGTATATAGATGCCTTATGATATGAAGTTTCCGTCTGTCATATGTCCATTGTCCTTGACCTCATTTTCATGGTTCAGTGACTACTTGAAAAAAAAGTCAACATTTTTTGAAATGTTTATTTCTTTCTTATTATGAGTAATAGGATAACTATATTTGGTATGTGCGTACCTTGCAAGGTCCTCATGCCCGTCAGACAATTTTCATTCGACCTCAACCTCATTTCATGGATCAGTGAACAAGGTTAAGTTTTTCGTGGTCAAGTCCATATATCAGATACTATAAGCAGTAGGTCTACTATATTTAGTATATGGAATGATTGTAAGGTGTACATGTCCAACTGGTAGGTGTCATCTGACCTTGACCTCATTTTCATGGTTCAGTGGTCAAAGTTAAGTTTTTGAATTTTGGTCTTTTTTTCTAATACTATATGCAATAGGTCAACTATATTTGGTGTATGGAAATATTTTATGATGTACATGTCAGTCTCGCTGGTTTTATTTGACCTTGACCTCATTTTCACTGTTCTTTTCTCAGTGTTAAGTTTTTGCATTTTGGTTTGTTTTTCTTCAACTATCTGACTATAAGCATTAGATCAACTATATTTGTTGTATGGAAGGATTGTAAGGTGTATATGTCTGTCTGGCAGGTATCATCTGACCTTGACCTCATTTTCATGGTTCATTGGTCAATGTTAAGTTTTCATGGTTAAGTTTGTTTCTTAGATACTATAAGCAATAGGTCAACTATATTTAATGCATTCATTGATTTTAAGGTGTACATGTCTGTCTGGCATGGTTCATCTGACCTTGACCTCATTTTCATGGTTCATTGGTCAATGTTAAGTTTTCTTGGTTAAGACTGTTTCTTAGAAACTATAAGCAATATGTTTGGTTTATTGAATGATTGTAAGGTGTACATGTATTTCTCCTTTGGTTTATCTGACCTTGACCTCATTTTCTTGGATCATGTTAAGTTAATGTGTTACTTGTAGTAAAGCTTTATATTTAGGACTATCAACATAAAATCAATAGTTAGTAAAGAAGGCGAGACATTTCAGCGTGTGCACTCTTGTGTGATATATCAAGCAAAATTATCAAATATTAAGCCTAAAGTGATTACTCAATCTTATTCTATGTAATGAAGCTTAAATATTGTGCCAGTCTATTTGTTTCATTAAACAATTAAAGCAAATTCATTAATGAAAAAGAAAGATATGATACATATTATAACTCGTGAAAAAAGATTAAAGCTATAAATTTGTAGACAGTATTTCTACAAAATCAGAAGTGAGAAATGAGTTTGGAGGTGAGTATGCGAAACATTGTGGACAGATGGAAATGACAATATCCACATGAATTGTTATGCATATCATATTGTAAACAAGCTAAATTTCGTGAGCCATTTACGAGTAGGAAAATAACGCAAATATAAATCATCATGAATATATTAAAATTGTTTTTCCTTTACGTAAATCTATCAAGAAATTTTGAAAATCACGAAACTAAATCATGCAGTTGTATGGAAAGGACTCGATCCGAATAAAGTATCTGCCACAATAAGTTGGGCTACAGTTCCACATTAGAGAATACAGCTGGGAGTTACTGAGAGCAAGCAAACACATTTTTCTTACACTATATTTCATAAATTGCGTGAATTTATAAAAAAAAAATTTATTCCAATATCTGTACAAGTTAACTTAGGAGTATTTTTAAAATGACTTAACATTTCACAGTATTTTTGAATTTATAATTTTCAGGTCTTGCTGTCGGCCATTATTTTAACATCAGCCCTTATCCACAAACTAAGAAGGCCACCATTGATGTCAAACCATGATGACGATGTTGTTTACGAGATGGCAAGAAGCCAAGAGAAATCACCTTATCCAACAAGAGGCCCATATGCTAACTTGTACAATAGTTAAATTATTAGTGTGTCACATTTTAGTCACCATTTAAGACTATAAAAATCATATTAGGTAATGGAGTCGTGTTACCTTATGTCAGAAGAATTCCCATTAAGATACATGTAGATCTGCTCTGAATGTTTGAAGTAATATTTTAGAAAGATAATACAAAGTTTGTAGGAGTATTGTACTTAAGTGACAGCTTGAGCTAACATGAATTTCAATACTGCTATTGTCATTTTTCGATTAGAATATGTAGAGTATGAATTTTTATCATTATGTGGGTCCAAGTTTTTAAAAATCATAGTATTTTAATTCATGAAAGGTCTGTTAAAATCTAAAACTGTTTTCTGTGATTGTTCAAACCTATAATAATTCTGGTTTTATTATTCATGTATACAATTACCCAGTAACTGTTGAGGAAAATATGATTAATTCCTTTTGAAAAAGAACAAAATTAGTTTAAAAAAAATCTTTTTATGTAAATAAAGATGATACAGTACACATAACAAGATTCAGTCAATAATAAGTCTTGTTTGAGTTGAGTTAATATACATGTATGTGAAACAAGTGATTTCCTATAATTGAGAACACACTTTTATAGGATTTTTTGTTATAAAACCTATTGAATATACATAGAAATGTCTTCTAGGGAATCATCCAGCAACCAGTATTTACCGTAAAAAATAACCATCACGACTGATTTTATTCTGAATTCCCTTGTACATACTGTACGTTAAAAGAAATTCAATAACATTATTCATGATTCCTTTCATTTTTTTTTATGGTACTTGTAAAAACATACAAACCCATGACATCATCTTAAAATATCAAACTGCAAGATTTTAATGTCAGCTAAATTAATACATATACAGTACTGCTATGCATCCAGAAATCTTTGGGAATTCCTCAGAAATATTTGACAATCTACTGATGCACGTAGTAATTGGTGATAACAATAATGTGACAATCTAGCTTCTAGTCAATGATTGTGAGATTTATAAAAATGGAGTTATTTCCCTTTTTTATACTTATATATATTATCTCCCTTTGTATGAGTGTTTGAAATAGTTTGATAGAAAAATAGATAATTTTTCTAATATTTTTTTACTAATCTTTCTGAAATGTTTTTGATATGACTTCATTTTGGAAGTAATGATATTAGTTTATCTTTGATATTGTTATATAAATTTTAATACAAAATCTCTGTCCACAAGAGTTCGTATTGGATACCAGTCTGATAGTTACAACAAGTTGAAATCTTTTCAGATTTGTCAAAATGATGTTTTTTTTAACCAACCGTCTGCTAAAATTTTAGGAACATTTTGTTGTACTAATGATTGTTTAGTGAAATTATGTTTGGACCAGTAAATAAAAATTGTATTGTGGACCAAATTTCTAGTAAACCATCCATCCTTTGTGAATTCTGTTAACAGTGTGTTTCTATTCCTTTTAATAATAGATTGCTTCTTGCTGTTAATTGCATTTAGTTCAAATTTGATAGTCCAATATAGTTTTTAAAGGAAGAAATATAGAAAAATAAATGAATCTTTCATAAATATTCCTAAGGTGGCCTTTTACCAGCCTTAATTTTTGTCCATTTTTAATTCACCTACTTTTTCCAATGGTTGTCAAATTTTTTGCCCTTTATTCCAGTCCACCTGGCTTTACAGAACTAACTTAAATATCTGGTATATTGTGTTATGTGCCTTCACCCTGAATGTGCATGAAATATTTGCCACTGGAAGTTAAGCAAACAACAATCAGTCAATTAGTATATTGCTCATTAGTTTACAAAAACATAGATAGAAGAGTTTTTTATCTGTATATTCACAGTAGGTATTGTAAAGTACCCACCTAAATTTATCAAAACTTACTTAAGAAAATATATTCTTATGTATATTGCCTTTTCTGACACAAATTGTAAAACAATACTGCACAGGTTCACAGACTAGAAGTTTAAAAAAATTCTTAGCCCTCTCCAATTTGCTGACAGATTGAAAACACAAAACCATTTGTACTAGTAGTGTATATGATTAAAGTTGTAATGATGACTCGCCAACATTAATCACTTTTTATTTGTACATTGTACATTATAAAGTGTATACACACATTGTTTTTTTCTGTCATTTTAAGATAACACTTATTTTTTGTAGGATTTCTACTCAATTTTTTCCCAAACTTTTAATTTCTTAAACAGATTTCAAATCAAATAGGATTATTTGGGTTTTTTTCTGCTTGTTATCCCACCATTGAGGTGCTAAACCAAAAAATCATTTAAGCATAATTTTCAAATAGTATTTTGTCTCATTACAAATAAATCATTCCAATATTTTAAACATGTTTTTTTTTATATTTTTATGTCATATTTGTTAGAGGTCATCTATTTTTGTTGTAAGAATATTTTTTGATAAAATAATTCAAATATAAGAATAACTAATGCACTGAAACTTACACACCTTATATATATTAATAAGTACTGCAGATGCATATATATGTTTAAGGGTACTCATTTTCCTGGACGAAGAGAAAATAACAATTCTGTGGATACTTTTTTTTTGAGTTTTTTTTCATTAAAATTCTATATACACACCAACAGCAAGTTTGTAAATTTTTGAAAATTTAAATTTGTGGTTTGCCCCTTCCCATGAAATCCAGGAAAATGAAACCCCATGAATAGTTATAAATCCACAGTATCTTGATTTCCTAATTGTTTGTATATGTCTAATTTTGATAATATTAACTCTCGAAAAACAATCAAATATAATTCAGAAATATTCTATTTCACTTTTTACCAGATTTTATCTATTAGTATTTTGGATTTGTTTGTTACAATTTTTTTAACATACATAGTAATTAACTTTTGTAAATGCCATTTCAGCTTTTCATGTTACTTTAACAAATCTGATAATTACTATTTGGGAAATTTTTAAATCCATATATGTAAATTCTGAACAATGATATATTGGATGGTAAAATTGAACCATTTCATTATAAAGTTTAAGATAAAAAAATATCGTGAATTATCTTACCTCTCTGGGATGAACAAATTTTAAGATTTTTTTTTAAAGTCACACTTGAGTTTAAGGAACTTTTAGGAAATTCTGAAGCGTGATTTGAAATAAAAAGAAATTTGTAGTTGCACACCTTATAAAGTAGAAATTAAAAAAGAAATAAAGTGCATTTAGAAGTTGAAGCAATTTAAAAAAAATTTAAGTGCATTTCTGAAATAGAAGAACAATTTCCCAGAAATAATTTTAGTGCATTTGTAATTATTATTGAATTTCAAAATGAATTATTAATAAAAACAAAGTTTTCAAATGTTGTAATACATGTACAGGGATCAAATTACATGTGCAATATGTACTTTTATCGCTATTTTACAAAATTTTCCTTTGATCTTGCTGACTGATAATTTCCTTTCTCAGCGGAGTCGAGTGATTTGAACAATTATCGCTAGAAACTAAGGTAGCATGTGCTCGTTGTTAATGAAATTAACAACATCGTCATAGGTAAAATAGCGATAAACAGATTATCATTGGTCATCTCAACTCGATTGCTTTTCTCACTTTCGCCATTCCAGCTCAAGCGAGAAAACCAATCTCGTTGAGATGATCAACGATAATCTATAAATATTCAATTTGCATCTGTTTCATAATTGATATTATTATATTTTATATCTGTCGAAAGATCTGTTGTATCGCAATATAGATTATATATTTACACTGCACAACACTGATGTAACACACTGTTTACACATAAAAAAAGTATGGTATTTTTCACTCATTTTGTGTATTGTGCTGTTTATACATCAAAGTATGTTAGCTTTTCACTCATTTTGTGTAATGTGTATATATGTTGTGTATTAATGACTATTCCATAACAAAGAATAATTTGTAGCAACAGGTTGACCAAAAGTATCAATTTTTTGAAAGACATTTAAAATGTAACTTTATTTAAAAATGGTATCGAAAAAGAAAAAAATCACTTGAGTAATATATTTAGTTCACTATATGTTATGTTCATCTTTTTTCAAAATTTCCCTAAAGAATTTAAAAAAATATGAATTAAGTTGGGTATTTGTAAGCAATAGGCATTATGCAATAAGTCTTTCTTATACTTTGAATTTTATATTGACATTGGAAATGGGATGTACAAAAAGCCTACAAGCCCTGCTTCTTACAAAGTAGTATACAGAATAACTGTTTATATAGAAAGTTGTAACCTATTTATAAGTTTTGCCTGAGAAGCAACAGTTGTTTAATTTACATTCTAATAATAAATTTAAATGATTTAACAAAACAAATAATATTGAAAAAAATTATTGATAAGAGAAAGCCATGCTCTTATCACTGTCTCGGCTAAATAACCTATAGAAAAAAATCTACAAAGAAAAATATTAGTTATGAATAATTGAACATAAACAATATTAAGTCAATGTCTGAAAAGTATAAACTTTTTTGTATGCGGCTGAGAAACTGGAGAAAGGCAAGGTTTTACCGAGCACTTCTCCAGTATTGTGCAGAATACAAACAAGTTTATATTTTTCTGACATTGTCCTTATATTATTTTTATACTGCAACTTAAATTAATTCATTGATAGCTATTTAAATTGTAACACAAATTTCAAATTTATTTTCATCCCTTAATGAACCCCTGATTGTGAAAAAAGTGATCCATGATGAAATTGACATTGCACTAAATATAGCTGTGTTACTATATTTAGGAAGTAAACACAACTAGTTGTAGTATAAAATAGTTGTTTTTCCTTGGTGTGTGATGTTTTTAGGTTGTAGTTTTAAAAACTTTAACATTTTGTGAGTGAGTGTAGTTCATGGCTGTGCCATACAAAATATTTTAGTGATATATTAGATTTTCATGGTATTTGGAATTCTACATTTTACATTTTTATTTTAACCATTGTGTTGTAATTGTATTAGGGGGATGACACACGTTTTGGACATTGGATATTTGGGATAAAGGGAGTACAAAAAAGAGATGATGTGTGATATAAGGGTGAAGATGTTGGATATAGGGGGAAAAACAAGTTTGAATCTGTGAAAAAAGAAGTAACAAAGTGGGAAGTGAAAAAAAAACCAATAAAAAATGGGATTTTGGAAATGACCATCTTTCGTGTCACCCCTCTCATGTATTACATTTTTGTGATAATATGAATATTGTCTCAATGCTTTATTATTCTTTTATGATGAATATTTCACCAATGATTAGAAATGATTGAAAAACACATATTTGAACATGATAAACATCGTAAAATTTACCATCATTCATATTTACGGAATCAGATGAAAGAATTGGAAAGTCAGATATCATTGTTAGCCTTAAGTTTGTTTTGATACGTTTTAAAAAGTAAACCATTATTATTATATGATAATAAAAAAAACTGCTTCATATGAATTTTAATAATCATATTTATGGATTATTAAAAATGAATATTTGTGTTTGTTATAAAACAACTTATGTTTCTTATTCTAATCATCATGATTTTTTTAATATTTTATGTGCAATATTTGTTTGTATGTATATAGCAAAGCTTTATAAATGTTTTAGATTATATTGGTGCAAAAAGGTATAAACACTGAAAGGAGAATCCTTATTATTTAAACTATTTCATGAATAAAATTCTCTATATTCCATTTCATCTTTTAAAACTTTTGTTAAATTGGTACAAATACAATTATTTTTATAAGAAATGAAAGAAAAAAGGGGATTGAGGTTTATTGGTTTTAAGAATATTTCTTTTTAGCAACAAGACATCAATTATCCATATGGAAACCAAAGTTATCTTCAATCTTTAAAAACTTGTTTTAGATTTTTTGATAACTTGTTTACGAAGCATTTTTAAATGCTAGCATCAGACTCGTGCATATTTTATACTTTATGTTTGGCTTCATACAAATAGATAATTACATTTCATGATATATGATCATTATTATGAATACTTATTGCTCAGCTGCAAAATCATGACCACTCTTTAAGTAGACATCTTGAATTACAAAGACTTTTATATATACATTTATCAGTATGTTATATCATTGCACATGCCATTTTTGCATAATTTAGAAATGTGAGGTAAATGTCTTTAAAAAGGGACTTTATATCTTAGTATTTTATGTCTATTTATTCCTCTCTGTAATTCATAATAGTAAGGAATAAATATTTCCAGAGTATAAGTAAATTTGCTGATATATTTGTAAACATGATCAGAAGAGTACTGGCTACACTTCATGAAGCAAATGCATCAAACTTTCTCATGAGGGATATTGCAAGGGGTTCCATGTTTTTGTTCAAACTGCATGAAATTTGAAGACATCTGTATTTTGGAAGTTAAAATGAACATTATTATTATATAATTTATTGGAAATTACTGTTGGCATTTTATCAAAAAAAACTTTTATTAAATATTTTGTGCAAAATTAAAATTTTTTTGTTTTCTGTGAAATTATTGTTTTTAAAAATGGTTATATTTGATTTATAGATGGAATAACTTTTTTACACAATAAAGGTTGTACATTAAACATATTAATCTAACATTGTAAGTCATTTAATTGTCTTGTCGGTTCATATTTTGTTAATAGTTTTTTGATAGATTGTGTAGTCATTAGTTTTACAGAGAAACAAGATAAATAATTTTATATTATGTTGTCATAATCGTCATTAAAGAAAATTCTATTTAAACTTCTTTGCTCTGTTGTTCATTAGTATTACTAGCCCTTTAAACTAATAAAGAAGTAGGCCCGGTAAGACCCCTTTTTTGCCCCAAAATGTAGCATTTTTACACATTTGTTGAAATGCTAACTTTTACCTATTTATTGAAAAGTAGAATACTTTGGTTCCATAAATATGGGCTGTTTTTGACAATACAATCCACATGCATCAGGTAATAGCATAATAAATTAATGCAAAAGTACTGATATCTTCACAATTTTAGCATTTGTGCTAATTTTTAGACGGTTTTTGTCGAGCCTGCAACTTTTGTCGCAGAAAGCTCGACATAGGGATAGTGATCCTGTGGCGGCGGCGTTAGCTAACTTCTTAAAAGCTTTATATTTTAGAAGCTAGAAGACCTGGATGCTTCATACTTTGTATATAGATGCCTTATGTTACGAAGTTCCGTCTGTCATATGTCCATTGTCCTTGACCTCATATTCATAGTTCAGTGACTACTTGAAAAAAGTCAACATTTTTTGTAATGTTAATTTCTTTCTTATTGTGAGTAATAGGATAACTATATTTAGTATGTGCGTACCTTGCAAGGTCCTCATGCCCGTCAGACAATTTTCATTTGACCTCAACCTCATTTCATGGATCAGTGAACAAGGTTAAGTTTTCGTGGTCAAGTCCATATATCAGATACTATAAGCAGTAGGTCTACTATATTTGGTATATGGAATAATTGTAAGGTGTACATGTCCAACTGGTAGGTGTCATCTGACCTTGACCTCATTTTCATGGTTCAGTGGTCAAAGTTAAGTTTTTGAGTTTTGGTCTTTTTTTTCTAATACTATATGCAATAGGTCAACTATATTTGGTGTATGGAAATATTTTATGATGTACATGTCACTCTCATAGGTTTTATTTGACCTTGACCTCATTTTCACGGTTCATTTCTCAGTGTTAAGTTTTTGTGTTTTGGTCTGTTTTTCTTCAACTATAAGCAATAGATCAACTATATTTGTTGTATGGAAGGATTGTAAGGTGTATATGTCTGTCTGGCAGGTATCATCTGACCTTGACCTCATTTTCATGGTTCATTGGTCAATGTTAAGTTTTCATGGTTAAGTTTGTTTCTTAGATACTATAAGCAATAGGTCAACTATGTTTGGTTTATTGAATGATTGTAAGGTGTACATGTATTTCTCATTTGGTTTATCTGACCTTGACCTCGTTTTTTTCGTATATTTAATGCATAAATTGATTGTAAGGATTACATGTCTGCCTGGCATGGTTCATCTGACCTTGACCTCATTTTCATGGTTCATTGGTCAATGTTAAGTTTTCTTGGTTAAGACTGTTTCTTAGAAACTATAAGCAATAGGTCAACTATGTTTGGTTTATTGAATGATTGTAAGGTGTACATGTATTTCTCATTTGGTTTATCTGACCTTGACCTCGTTTTTCTTGGATCATGTTAAGTTTATGTGTTACTTGTAGTAAAGCTTTATATTTAGGACTATCAACATAAAATCAATGGTTAGTAAAGAAGGCGAGACATTTCAGTGTGTGCACTCTTGTTGTCTAAAATGAAAGTGGCCGCATTTGTGTTCAGTCTTAATATTTAAATATATGTTGTATTTGATGATATTACATAACATATATAAAGGTTGAGACTGAACACAAATGCGGCCAGTTTCATTTTAGACAAAAACCATCTGAAAAGTGACGTTTTATAGCATATTTGATAGATTTTTGTCTCGCCTTGAGGGCGTCAAAAAGCGGTGTCAACAATGTATTAGTTTGTGATTAGGTCTAGTTCATGGTGAACCACTAGTGGTAGGTCAATGATATTTGGTATGCAGTTGTATTAACATTGGCACATCTCATTACCATGTAGATTATTTGGTTCCGCCCCCTCAGTCAAGGTCTATTGACTTTGAAACTTTTCATAGTTTACATGTATTAGTTTGTGATTAGGTCAATTTATGGGGAACCACTAGTGGTAGGTCAATGATATTTGGTATGCAGTTGTATAAGCATTGGCATATCTCATTTCCATGGAGATTATTTGGCTCCGCCCCTTTAGTATTGGTCTATAGACTTTAAAAATTTTGCTAAGTTAACATGTATTAGTTTGTGATTAGGTCAGTTCAAGGGGAACCATTAGTGGTAGGCCAATGTTAATTGGTGTTCAGTTGTATAAGCATTAGCACATCTCATTTTCATGGAGAATATTTGGCCCCGCCCCCTCAGTCATGGTCTATTCACCTTAAAACTTTTGCTTAGTTTACATGTATTAGTTTGTGATTAGATCAGTTTAAGATTAACTGCTAATGTTAAGTCAATGATATTTGGTATGCAACTTTATTGGCATTTGCAAGTATCGTTTCCATGGAGATTATATAGCCCCACCCTTGATCATGGTTCATTGACTTTGAAACTTTTACATAGTTTACAAGTTAATGTGTTTAGGTTTGTTTAAAGGGAACGACTTATAATAAGTCAATGGTATTTGGCATGCAGTTGTATTAGCATTGGCACATCTTATTCCATGGAAATTGTTTAGCCATGTACCTTCAGTCATGGTTCATCGACTTTGAATATTTGCATAACTTACATGTTAAAGTATTGCTATTTTAATTTCAACATTTGCATTATCAAAATTACAAAAAGGCGAGATATATCTCTGTGATAACAGTTTATTCATAATTAAGCTTGAGTTTGAGCGTCTTTAATGACCAAATTAGTTCAAATCTTCTACAAAAACTAATTGAATCGACTTAAGTAGACAGTTAAGTGTTTAAAGAAATTCAAAAATCTTTCATCAGATGTATTTCGCATTTTAGGCGAAAAACTAGCCCGTATCGGACCTACTCCTTTATAATTTATATGTTTGATTACACTATTTGATTATTGAGAGTTGCTCAAATAGATTTCAAATATGGTACATTAGATTTAAAAGGCTAAGAAAGGGAAAGTTACCAGGGGTTTGGAAAAAAACTGATGGGGTTTTATTCATTAAAAAAGGGGGGATTTTCCAGTTTTTCGACAATAACTCAAAAATTTCATCAGTTCTCATGAAACTTTGGTGAATTATTTATAGCTATTGATGTAATCTCCCTATTGATTTTCATAATTTTCAAATATGACATTGAGAAGAAATTGAACTTTATTTGTTTATAGTCTGACAACAGATTTACTTAGTATTGCACAACAGCACAGTGTATTGCACAACAGCAAGAAATCTTTAATTGAATATAAATTCAATTCATATAACCATTTTCAAGTTCTTTGACTACATTTATTCAGATACCTTTAATATGTCAAATATTAAATTACATTCCAAATTCAGACCTGTTTCAAGCTTGAATATTGTGTCCATTTTTGCCCCAACTGTTCAGGGTTGGACCTCTGCGGGCGTATCCAGCTGCGCTTAGGGAAGCAGTTTATTGATGAAGTTGAAGTCCAATCAACTTGAAACTTAGTACACATGTTCCCTATGATATGATCTTCTAATTGTAATGCCAAATAAGAGTTTTGACCCCAATTTCACGGTCCACTGAACATAGAAAATGACAGTGCGAGTGGGGCATCCGTGTACTATTGACACATTCCTGTTCAGATATAATCTTTGTGGAAGTATCAGTTCTGTTCAGACCTTAAGATTGTAATCAATTTAGTTTTAACCAGTCACTATTCATACAAATAAGCAGTTATAGTTTTGCACAGGTATGTCACAATTGCCAGACTTGGAAAAAAAAATGCCAAATCTACTGAAAAAAAGTATAACAAAAATACCGAACTCCTAGGTAGATTCAATAAGGGGAAAGACCATAAAAAAATAACAAAATTAACCAACAAGTTAACCAACAAGTGTGATATTCCTGACTTGGTGCAGGCATTTAAAGTTAACCAGGTATTAAAGCTAGCTAAAACATATGTCTGTACAGTGATTAAAAGACTAACATAGGTAACTTAATTATTTGAATAGAACAACATGACGGAATTAGTTCATAGTTGTTTTATTAACATGTTTAAAGTCATATAAAACTTCAAAGGAGTAGGCCCGGTAAGACCCCTTTTTGGCCCCAAAATATAGCATTTTTACAAATTTGTTGAAATTTAATTATTTAGCTATTTATTGGAAAGTAGAATACTTTTGTTCCATAAATATGGGCTGTTTTTGACAATACAATGCACATGCATTATGACAAGCATATTAAATTCAAGCAAAATTACTGAAATCTTCACAATTATAAGATTTGTGCTAATTTTAAGACGGTTTTTGTCTAAATTGGATGTGGCCGCATTTGAGTTCAGTCTTCATATTTAAATAAATGTTGTATTTGATGATAATACATAACATACATAAAGGTGGAGACTGAACACGAATGCGGCCACTTACATTTTAGACAAAAACCATCTGAAAAGTGACGTTTTATGGCAAATATGACAGAATTTTCATATTTAAGCTTGAATTAAAACGTCTTTAATGACCAAACCAGTTCAGATCTTTTACATAAACTAATTGAATCGACTGAAGTAGACACTTAAGTGTTTAAAAAATGTAAAAAATCTTTTATCAGATGTACTTCGAATTTTAGGCCAAAACTAGCACTTACCGGATCTTCTCCGAGAGAAGAGTTGAACATGTTTTTTTTTATACTTGAATGGCTAAGTTTACTCTAAAAAAGTGAATGCGATTTTTTTTTAAAGAAAATCCTTTATATTATCAAAATCTTCATAAATGTACCGATATTGAATTATTGATTTCCAGACAATAAAATAAACAGTAAAATATGTTAGCGGGTTCCCAACCCTCCCTTAACCTTGGACAATGGTGTAACAGTACGACATAAGAACGAACTATAAAAATCTGTTGAAAAAGGCTCGTCAGATGGATACAAATTGAAATATATCTAACAAAAACACAGAGTGGAAGTGGCCAGGTACTTGAACATCATAACAATAAAAAGACACTACGTACAGATCTGAGAGTACTCGCAGTCACTGACAGCTCTAGTT